TTGAGATATCCAAACCGAGCATGCCACATCCGTAATCATCCGCCCGAGTGGAGGAAGTACCACCAACCACCGACCTTGTAGTAGGCGTGATCGATCAGCCGTGACCAATGTTGATGAGGTAAGGAAAATGGACCCTTGGCCCATTTACTTTGGATTTTGGTGTTTGATGACCAGTTGAAACACAAGACTAACCCAAGATGAATTTCGTGACCAATGTTGATGATCTTTGTGTAAGGAAAATGGACCCTTGGCCCATTTACTTTGGATTTTGGTGTTTGATGACCAACGAGTTGGACTAATGAATTTGCAAGTGTTTGTTTTGTAGTCCAATAGGGTGCAAGACATGACTTGGACGAAGGCGACATGATGATCGATGATCAACACCTCAATGCAAGACCTTAGAAGCTTGGACCGCAAAGTCCAAGGAAAGGTAGAACCAAGCCTCGTAAGATCCTTCGAAGAAGCCGGCGCATTTGTATCCGAGACACTGGAACATGACCGCGCTGGACCGTGCTTGATGATGGGGTAGCCCTCGGACCTTCTTCTCTAGCCAACCAAGTCAAGTCTGAAGAGGTTCGGTAGCGCTGTGAAAGCGCGACGCGTTCGGTGGCGGTTGAGATATCGTCAAACCGGGCATGCTACATCCACGGTTCCTCGGAGTGCCTTGCCGCGAGCAGATTTGCGGACGACCCCCAATGGCTACTTTCTCGGTGGGGCTATAAATACAACTACCTTTTTGATAAGTCGGAAACATACCAAGGGTGTTGATAACCATTTTAGTGATTCCACTTGCTAAGTGCTTAGTGGACCTCTTCACCTTGGCTGAAGAAGGTTGATTAGACCACCGCTTGCCTCGGTGCCCACGATCCTAGTGTTTAGTGACTACCTCTTACCACCCCGTCCTTGACTTGAAGTCTTGCGAGATCGCACCAACCGCGTTTGTGGTGCGCCGCGCGCTCCAGCTTGCTCATCCGGTGACCAATGCAAGTGAAAGCTTTGGCCTTGATGATCTTTGGAGCGTAGCTACTGGGATGTAATATACATCCGTTAGCGAAGAGTGATGCTCCCTATACGGCACTGAAGATGATGGTGACATGCCCTTGGATTGCCACCCGTGAGCCGTCACCAAACTTTCACTTCCTACCTCGGGTAACATCGTCGACGGGGTTTGCATATCTCTACCGAGCTCGCATTTAGATTGAGGATTTCCTGCGGTAGAGATAGCAACACAATCGAGTTCATCTAGATGGATTATCTTTTGTATAGGTTTTGCTAGAAGTAGAAAAAAGAGGCCATAGTCGTGAGTTAGATTTTTAAGTTGCCTAATTCACCCCCGAGTCTCCAGATACCACATGCTTTGCTCCTGGGAGTAATATACATCCGTTAGCGCCACAGTGCTCCCGTCCGAGATGAACTTGGGCGCGTGGCGTCGTCGAGGTAACATGATGTCTCGGAGAAGGCCTTGGAGCCTCATGGTCCTTCCACCCACCCTTGCTCTTCCCTCTCCTCGATGCCTCATGCGTGTCGAGGTTGATGTCGAGGGCCTTCCGGGTCCTTCCACCGTCCTTGTGCCTCATCGTGCGAACGTCGCCATCAGGATAGTGGCCTCATCCTCATTATCGGCTTGCGCCAGATGAGCTTTAGCCTTCTTCTCCTGCTTGCGATTTGGGCACTCCCGTGCCCAATGGCCCATCTTTCCGCAGCGCAGCCAGGCGTTGGGGTCGACCTGCTTCTTCTTCTCCGAAGAAGTCTTGCCGCGGCGCTTGCCATCGCCACCGTGGCTAGAGGAGGCTGCCTTCCGGAGTTCCTATGAGCAGCCCACTTCTCTTCCGTCAGCAGCAGTTTGCCGTTGTCCTTCGTTGCTGTCGCCTGCTCCAGGCGTTCATCCATTGCCCGCAGATGGCCTGTCACATCCTCAATGGTGAGGGTGGACAAGTCTAAAATTGTCTCTATGGAGAGAGCGATCTTGATGTACTTTGTCAGCACTGACTGGAGGTACTTAGAGACCGCCTCCTCTTCATTGACGGTGACGCCGTGGCTCTTCAGCTTGCTGATGAGCGTCTGTAGGCGGAGGGAGAAGTCCTTCACCATTTCACCATCCTTGAACTTGAGGTTGGCGTACTCCTGCTTCAGAAACTAGGTCGTCGCCTTCTTTGCGCGGTCGAAACCGACGCGCATCGCCGCAATAGCCTCCCACGCCTCCTTAGCAGAGCTCTTCGCCCTCAACGGCTTCCTGTACTCCGCCGGTACAGCAGCAAGCGAGGATAGCCTCCGACACTGACATGTCATCTTTTTTATTTTCGGTGCCCTTGTCAACAGCATTACAGAGCCGTCGGGCTCTGAGCTTGATCTTCATGGTCACCGACCACTCTCTATAGTTGCTGCGAGTCAGCGTCGGCCAACTGGTGCCGCTGACCTCCCGCACCGTGCGAACAACGACCTCCGGTCGTGGCTGAGCAGCCACAACAGTGCCACTGCTGTCGCCCATCTCCGAACCGCCCGTCATTGCCAGTGGTTAGTCTAGCGACGGCGCTTGTACGGCTCTGATACCACTTGTTGGCCCACAGGATCACCGGTTCAGGTGAGTCGACCACTCACCAGTCTTGTCGAGTACCCGCTAGTGTTGCCGAGCACCCACTAGCCGTGCTGACCATGACCAAGCGTTATCCGTCCCCACACACTATGGCTAGAGCCACAAGAAGAAGGGAGAACAGAGCATACACACATAGTACAAGACACCAGCGTTGGCCGAAGCCCTGTATGGGAGATGGTAAATCTGAACTCTCTTTACTGAATTGTCATGGTAGTCTATTTATACAACTATATCCATCTAGTCATAGTACAGCGCACATGTTGCAACAGTAACTAGATAACACAGCAGGGTTGACTCTGCGCCGGCCTCTACATGTGGCTACAGTGCTGTAGGTGAGCCGTGCGGCGCCTGCACATACATCGGCTACAGTATCACGGTGGGAGCCTTTTCGACGCTACATTTCCTTGCTGTGTTCACACAAGATAGTAGTAGATTATCTAACACTTTCTGCCTGGTTCCATGCATGTAGGTTGTTGCCTCCCAAGAGGCCAAGACTGGCCCAAGGTGGCTACCTATAATGGCATTGTCCGCCGTGAACAAGGTCACCGTAAAGAGCTCAACGATGGTGTGGAAGAAATTGTCAAGTACGATCATCACGATCTCTGAAATTTAAATGACACCCGATTGAGAGTTCCTTAACTATAATAGATTAAACCCTTGTTGACATGTATATTTCTGAAAATGCAGCACGCCATTTAAGTTGCAGGATGAAGCCTTTGTACTAGTAATGGGATTATATGGCATAGAACAAACTGTCGGTACCCAAGCGGCCAAGCCCCTGTTGCCAATGAAAGTGAGTCCTAAAGTACATAAAAAGGGCGCCTCAAGCATGAACACTAGGCTTGGATATGCTAGGTGGTGTCCCCATGGATTCTAAGCTTCTTTGGACACATTTTTGTAATCTGTCAGCACTACCATGTTGACTATTTCTGCATATTAAATTGCACTAATCTCAGTCCTATTTCCAGTTAGTCCGTTGGAGAAGCAATCTCGGGTAGTGGGAGAGCGACGAGGTATTGGCATCTACATCTCACAGAGGTGCATGAACGTTTAGTATTTCTGACTGCATAGCAGGAGCAACTATCCAGCATATATGCTCATGCAAGATGGCATAGAGTAATTACTGTTTGGTCAGTGATATGAAATGAAGTTTTTTGTTTACCTGAACTCAATATGCACTGTACATAAATATACACTGTTTGGTAAGCTTAATAATGTGGGAATATACTAAGCTTTTGTTTACTAGCGATGTCCATGCTTGCTGCTGCCATGCAGTCTATAGGAACTGAATGTCGCACATTTATGTCTTTTCAAGGAAAACCATATTAATCAAATATTCAAATGTTTCCCAATGTTAAAAAAAAAGAATTGAACCATGTTAATGAAATTGCTGATATTATTAGGACTCATGAATACTGTAGAATGTATGAAGGCATCCAGTTATTCATATTGATTTTCTATTTTCTATTTTATGATTTGACAATCTCTCCCTAGAGCTACAGACGACCTCTCAGTAAAACATGTTGAAACAAAGGCTGCGCTTGGCTGACACGAAAATCACTGTAGTGACTGAAAAGTTACTGTTCATGTATGTATTTGTGAGAGAAAAACACTGTTCCGGATGAAAAAAGAAGCGGATCAAGCCGGGTATGGTGTCAGCCGAACGCAGCCAAAGAGGGATAAAGTTAATTATTGGGTCTATTTACTTATCAAATTAGTATTGCTATTACCGGTTGCTACGCAAGTGTTGAAACAATATTTTCTGTAATGACCTTTATCAAGAATAAGTTGAGAAATAAGATGGGTGATAACCTTCTGGATGATTGTCTAATGACTTCTATTGCGCGGGATATCTTCTTACAATTGAGTGATCGAAGAAGAGATCATCAATACTTTCATGGCTATTAGAAGGCGCAGGCCTGACAAGAAGAAGTAGTGACATATTGTTCTTCAACTATTATGGGTATGTAATATTGTTCGTCTATTTTATAAACTCTGTATGTATTTTTTCCTTAATTGCATTTTATAATTTTTTTATACTTGTGTACCGACATGTTAAATTTATAGCAACTAAAAAAATTTAGACAATGGACCAAAAAAATTGGACAATGGATCACCATAGCTACAAATCATGGCTACGCCACTGGATAAACGACGTGTCAACTGAGATCGCCATGGATGCCATATCAGTTAGTAAAATCACCTCAATATATATGTATGCCTAGATCAATATTCTTGATTTTCAGTTAGGATAGAGGTGATGGTAATTGTTTATTCCTTTGGGTCTAGAATAATATTGATTTGAGTTTGTGACGGCTTCTACACATTAGAAAAATCAGTTCGTTATGCTTCTATGCATTAGAAATAATATTCTTCCATATGACATTACAAGTGATTGTGTAAATTTTTATGAGTTTGTGACTAGGCCAATGATGATATGGGTTTGAGATTTCTTCTATGCATTAAAAAAAATCAGGCTTTATGGTTAAGGTCTATGCATATGAGTTTGAGAGGCTGCTTCTATGCATTAGAAAAATCAGGCTTTATGATTAAGATCTATGCATTTGAAAAATATTTTTTTGATAGTGAAAATAATTGGTTTTAGAAATTTAATTGTTATTTTTCTTATGAATGATTTTTTATAGATACGTGCATGCCACACGTGCATCTCCACTAGTTAACTAAACACAGGAACAATTTCTCACAAAATTAAGTAGGCACGCGGATACAAAGACACGCTACAGAATCTTTGCTGCTTAGCATGCTGGTGCAGCTAGCAGCGACAGTATCACGACGCTGTACGTACGGAACGGAGCTGATGCCTCGCTCATTCGACGATCGCTCAGGTCAAGTGAAGTCACGCCTGGTTGACGACCCGGCAGTTCTCCCTGACCTCTCCTTGGTCGCCGGTGAGCGGGCTCAGGTTGCCCAGCTTGACCATGGCCGCGCCGAAGTCCTCCAAGAACTTGGTGGGGTTCTCGGCGTAGTACTTCACCAGGTCGCCGGCGTCGCCGCCGCCCTGGTACAGCTGCTGGTCCGTGTGCAGCAGCGCGCGGCCCTGCATGAGGCCCTGGTAGTAGTCCGTGTCGACGGTGGTGGGGGTGTCGTCCAGCGCCGTCAGCACGTCGTCGTCGCCCGACAGCGGGCACCGCTCGTCCAGCGACGCCGCGTAGGTTGGGTCCAGCGTGCCGGTCTCGTTGTACAGGCGGCCGCGGAAGAAGAGGCAGCGGGAGTAGCCCAGCGTGTGGCCGCCGGAGAGCACCACCAGGTCGTGCAGGGACAGGCCGTGGGACTCGAAGCTGGCCTGCAGCGCCGGCAGGTCCATGAACGGCGTCGGGATGTCGTTGTTCGCGTCGTCTATGCTCGCCGTCGTCGCGTCGCGCCGCCCGAGGAGCACGTCGTACGAGGTTCCTCCCAGCTGGAAATGGCCATACACAGTACGCGCACAGACAAAAAAAAACTTTGGGTCACATCATACTGTCAGTGTCACTTCGGAGTGAAGATTTAATTTGGGCATATTTAGTTCCACCAAAATCCAAACTTTAACATTATGCAAAAAAAAAATTTTTCGTTACATCAAACTTGCGGTACATGCATTGAGTACTAAATATTGACGAAATAAAAAATTAATTATACAGTTTGGTTGTACTTTGTGAGACAAACGTTTTAAGCCTAATTAATCAACGATCGGACAATTATTACCAAATACAAACGAATGCTACAGTGCACTCCATAAATAAACAGTAAATCGGCGGCGCCAAGTTCGGCGAACTAAACGCGGCCTTGGTTTAAAGGGTTGTGCAAGTTGCCTGGAGAAGAAGATTTTGGTTAGTGCTTTATGCTATTGCTTACGTATCACAGGGTTAGCTAGTGCGGTTTCGTGACTTTTGTAGGCATTGATTTGATCGAGCCGTGAGCGTGAGTGGATAAGTACGTCCAGGTGAACTGAACTTACAGCGACAATGGAATCGCGAGCGGCCACAGCCAAGATATCGGCGCACGAGACGATGTTCCCCAAGCATATCGTGTTCACCGCCGACTTGATGGTGTCGATGACCTCGTAGCCTCTCACGGAGTTGTTGTTGGGCTTGGCCGTCTTCTCGCCGACCATGTCATCGGTGTCGTCCAGCAGGATGGAGCCGTCGCAGCCCTGCAACATATGGGTTACAGTTACATGGCTGGCTTGCATGGCGCCGGCGGCGTGGCTTGATCAGCTAGGTAGAAGAAACTTACATTGATGAAGCAGTCGTGGAAGTGGAGGCGGACCAGCGACGCCCCCATCCTGGGCTCACTCACGATGGCGGCGCCGACGAGGACCTTGATGGTGGTCAGCGCGAGCGGGCACGTCTCGCTGTAGTAGTCCGCGGTGAGCTCTGCCCTGACCCCGAGAGCCGCCGCCATGAGGGTGAGGTAGACAGCAAGCACGCCCATTCGCGACGAAGCTGCCATCGATTAGCTGTTCTAGTACTGGTCGGTGGATCAAATTCAGGTGCAGTGAATTTGGGGTGTGGTGATGATGGTGTTGCCGGGACGATGGAGGAGGCGTGTGCTTATATAGGATAGGGAATGTGAACTTGTGAAGTCTGTAGGAGGTGATGACAGGTAGAACAGCTAAATTCACTAGTCTATCTACCTACCTGTCATCACCATGTATTGTGTATATGATCGAGCTAGCATAGCCAGGCGACCAACCGATGCTTGTATATAGTGGTTGATAGACCTAATGCATGTAGATCTAGGCTTTATTCTCGGCGTGTGCGAGGGGCTTGCAATTGTCGACCGAGAGCAGTTTCTTGTTCGTTTCACCAATGACCAATCCATGCATCCGTGTATCTGCAGGCTTGTGTTAAATTTTCCCGGAATTAATTGATTTATCCGTGGATTTATTTATGCATGCATCTTAGTTGATTTGGTTTAGTTTTGGCACATTTACCCTCCGTTCATGTTGTAGAGACCTAGTAGTATCAGTCACACTGTTTCAAAACAAAACTCATTTTCTGACGCACAGCGAGCAAGCGTATATATCTTCGGCCGGCGTCTTTCTGAAGAGTCAAAACAAAAGATCATCATCAGATTATTAATCCAATGAGTTGGTTAGCGCAACGTTTCGTGCTCAAGCTTGTTGCTCACCGACTCACTTCACTTACTGTCTGCATATGTGCTCGTCATCTAGCTATCAGATCCTCTTTCTGTCATAGTAGTCTGTTAGCTAACACGAAAAGAAACCATCCAAACACCATTATTTATAACCGTCTCGCTCGAACAGCTGTATAAGTGTATAAAGAATAATTCTATCAGGTCCGTTAGTTATCCTGACCTTCGCTTTAAGCAGGGTTGGTGAAAAGATATGATTAGAAAGAAAAACTGATTTCTTCGATTCTCCTGTCCTCATGCCCTCATCTATATTATATTCCCTCTTTACCTGGTATAAACTAGTTTTTCGGGCGCACCCATGCGCGCGGTCCACTGGCCACACGTATTTTTTTGGAGAAAAAAAATATATAATCAAAGTTGGGTTGTATTTTGATTGGAGAAAAATCGAGGATGTTTTCGCAAAAAGCGGTGAGTGTCCGGGGGCGCGCGAGTTGATTTTCGATAAAGTGGAGGTCTTTTTGCAAACAAACAAGTGCCCATCCGGTGATGGATGGCGTTGATTTGGAAATAATCGAGGCGTTTTTTTAAAAAATTCGAGAGGAGCGAGCGCAGTTGATTTCCAAAAACTTAAAGGGGTTTTACAGAAAGCGACGCACACCGATCTGGGCCATCCGGCATGGCCGATCGAACGCCGCAAAAAGATGGCGACGCGTGGTGACCCCGAGGCCAAGGCTGCTACACCAAATCATATCTTTAGATGGGTATGGCCCGAGCTCGTCGGCCTGGCCCGGCGCACGCCTTTTGGCTCTAACGCCCCCGGCCCCCTCGGACGGACCGAGCTTGCACGCTTGCCGAAGGGCACCGTGCACAGGACTTACCCTAGGCACGACGTGCCCCCACGGCACGGCCCGATGCACGCGGCGCATGGGTGGTTCGCTAAGACACCCCTCCCCCCACCCACAAACCATAACTCCCTTCCCTCCCCCCCCACGAAAGGCCTCTCCCCACGCAGCAGTGCACCGCGAGTCATGGACACCCCTCCCTTCCCTCGTGTCGCGGCATCGGGCAAGGCCGCGAGGCGAGCGCAAACGCGGGACGCACCCTCCCCTTCCCTCGCGCAGCACGACAGCTGACTCCTCCCTCTCCTCGCGCGACCTCCTCGCTCGCAGCGTCGACGGCCGACACCAAGTGCGGATGCCGACGCCCTTCCCTTTCGTTGAGCGACGCCGGCTGAGCAAGCAAGTCGCCCGGCCTTGAGCTCCGTCCCGACGCTAGATCCGGTGTCAAGGGCCCAAGGGCTAGCTTGCCGCCGGCCACTGCCATCTTCGGCTACTCGCGCTTCCTCCCCTTCCCTCCCCCCTCTCTCTGGCTACTCGCACAGCGCCTCGTGGGCCTCGGTGGCCCGGCACGGTGGACTGGTCGTGCTTCTCGGGGTGGCCCGGCCCAAAAAACGGCCGAGCAGGCTGTGCCTGAGCCATCGGGTAGGCACGACGCATCGGCATGGCTCGGCACGACGCGTGTCGTCGCCCGACCCCTTTGGGGCGTGGCGAGCCGTCGTGCGTCGTGCGGGCTAGGCCGGTCCGTTGCCCATCTATAGTCCTTGGATAAATAGTTTTTTAGAGTTGTTTTTTTAACTTTAACCGAATTTTTAGAAAAAAAAAAAACCTTTAAAATTTATGACATCAAAATAGTACTCCCTCCGTCTCCCAAATAAGTCAATTTCTAGAATTCATGGAAGTCAAACTATTTTAAGTATGGCTAACTATATCGGATGGACTAACAACATATGTAGCACAAAATGAGCATATTATAAAAAATATATTCTATGATATATCTAATTATACTAATTTGATGTCATAAATTCTAATGATAGATATCATCGCAAATAATATAGTGGTGCAAACAAAACTGAAAACGAAGGACGTGTACACAACAGTTATCGCATTTTTTAAAAAAAGAAAACAAAATAAAAAACAACCCACTTCCATCTCTCATGGTCTGCAGCATGACTAAAAAAAGAATGACAAAGCAGGCCAGCCCACCTGCACGGCCATAACACAGGAACTCTGTACTCACATGCGCGGGCGGAAGGCCGTTACTGCAGATGGGCCTGAAAAATATGACTCCCGCTGCCATTCCAGGCCCATCTGGCATCTCAGCCAATCACAGCGGGCGGACGAGATGGAGAAGATGTTGGACGTCGACCTGCTGGGTCAGGGCTACGTTCCAGAAGAGGAGCAGGCCGCCCGGCGAGCCCGCAAGGCTAGGCTTGTGTGGGGTCCGTGGGCTGCCTCGCCAACGAGATTCGCACGTGAATTCAGTATTTGTGGTCTCCAATCTGATGGCTAATTTACCATTGTGACTTCGTCGGTGTGAATTCAGTATTTGTGGTCCATCGGCCTGAATCTAACCTAGAGTTACCATCGTGACTTCGTCGGTAACGGTACACCGTTTGGTGGTCCATCGGCCTGAATCCACAAGCCCAGAGATATTTTTTAATTCGTCACCATCAAGAGCCGGACAATTGATATAAACGTTCAGTACTTGCACTGCACATCCACAAGCCCAGAGATAATTTACGATGAAGGATCACCGTCAAGAGCTTTTGTTGGGGGATGTATTGATAAAGATGGTTACAAAAGGACACGACACTACAAACGCCACACAACGAAAGACCGGCACTAGGTTTTTCAACTAAGAGAAACCCAAGAGATGGGGGACCTCACGACAATGCCTCCAATGAGGAATGTGATGCAAAAAGCAACACCATTGCCGGAGGGCTTTCGCCCTAAAATCCCTCAAATCATAATTCAACCCCAAAACAAAAGGCTAGCCACCGAGGCAATGTCCACAGAAGCCGCCCATTAGTGGGAAGATGCTGCCATACTGAACAAGTCGCAGACCTGCTTGACTTGTCACCATGACCCCAACTTCAAAGTCGCCACTATCCCACCAAACACCGGATATCCACGTATAGCCGCATCAAAGCCGCTGCAGACGAACCTACAAGCTTGCAGCATCCATGCCAATTCCCCACACCGGCAGCCAACCACGAAGAGCCACCTACAACAAGTTGTCGCAAGCTGCAGAAGACTGGTCGTCAGACATGCGCGACCATCCACCGCAGCGCTAGTCCAAAAGGACCGCAGCCAACCGAGTCGTCACCGACTCCTCACAGATCGCCAAAGAGAACCGTCAACCATGTTGCTTGTCGAGGAGCCCGCCATGGCCGCAGCAGCGAACCTGCCCCACGTCGCCGAACGTCGTCGAATGACCGGAACTGGCCATCCGACCAGGCCCGCACCGCACGCCACCCACCGGCATGGCTGAGCAGCAGCCAGCCACGGGGAGTGGGGGACAACAGCGACGGCTTGGCTTCACGCCACCACGCCCACTGCCAGCAGTAGCAACTCGCGGCGTGCACCGCCAGAACCGCGTCCCTTGCGCCATCAACGAGCGTCCTCCGTCCTCCAGTGCAACCACCGCCGATGTGGCCGAAAAGGGTAGATCCGGGCATCGGATCACCGGATCTGCCCACCCCCGGCGAGGATATACGCTCTCGGCTACCGGAACTGCACCCCGGCCACCGGAATCGAGGGTGGCGGCCATCCTCAAAAGCACGCGCGCAGGGAGGAAAGGATGTGAGAAGAGAAGGGGGCCTCGCCGCCGCCGTCCTCAAAAGCACGTGCGCAGGGAGGAAAGCACTTGCGGGCAACTTGCCGCGTGCTCGAGCGGCAGCGAGGATGGGGAGGCGCGGCGCGGAGGCTGGTGTGGCGGCGGTGCGGAGGAGCGACGCGGTGGCGTGGCGTGGCGTGACATTTTGCATCACCACAACTACTTCATCTCCGATTAGTGGTAAGCAAGAACAACTGAATTATATTGTAAGAACTTATCGTTTATAATCACTCATCATACTCAACAACAAGCTATAGGGCACGCATCAACGTTGTCGTCCGAATAAGTTAGGCAGCGTGCACTTCCTGATCTTAATTACGCGTACGATTTTGCAAATTGCTGGTCTCCCATTCCTTTTTTTCTTTCTTTTTGAAATGCGCAACTCGATCGTCTCCGTTATTAATTCTTGCTATAATAAGAGGAGACATCCACACGCGAGTCTATATATGGCAAATAAAATCTCTTGTACGTATGTGGAGCTAGACGACGGGCAAGTCATGACACACAGGATGAGAATAATAATGCGACCACCAATATAATGTCCACGAGGGCACGTTCCATGGGTGCAAAACTTAGGCTTATTCGGTGTGCCGACCGGCAAGTACACGCGGAAAATAATTAAAATCTGCACGTTTTATTTCCATTTTCCACTATGTATATCCTCTGTGCGCACAACAACG